TTCTTGAAATTCAGTATCACTTTATTTCTGTATTCTTTGAACCAAATTCTGCCAAATGCAAGAAACTGACATTTGCTGGTTTCACATTTTCCTTTTGTTTTGTTGTACTTTCTTTTATAACTAAAAGATGCAGAATGTTCTGTACTTCAATTAATCTTTAAATCATTATTGTGCGTCCTGAATCCTTTTACCACATCACTCTTAAAGCTCAGTCCACTAAATTGTTGCACCAGTTGCCTTATCTCCTTTATGGGTTCTGCCATCAATTGATACATTTTTCCATTATTGTCATTAAACAGCTTTTACTCTGCTTTTTTTCTTTGTGCAATTGCCTCATTCTCAAGAGGTTTAAACAAGGACAGCCTTTGTGCTTCTATCGTGATGTACTTGTAGTGTTATTTTGCTTATCTCTTCTTTCTGCTTACTATTTTCTAGGGTAAAAGTGAACAAACCATTAAATCTTTCTGGACATCTACTATTGTGTCAAATAATTCAGGTGACAATTGGTGTTCCTGCTGTCTTCACCTGGGTATTATTTTTTTCTTCCAGGATGTTTTAACTCCCTGAAATATGTTAGTAATAAGAGGGGGTTTGTGAGTTCAGTTTTTCTTTTCCCCATTTTTGCACTTGAGTTTTTAGCAGTTCTTGGATTTCCCTAGTAGCAGAGCCTCTTACAGCCCATAAATGAGAGGAGACACTGGATTGTTACACCTGGTCTTAAGATGGTCTTTGTTTGAGGATGACCTGTGGCCAAAATATGGCAAGAAAAAGGAACAGCTTCATGATTTTCTCGTTATTTAGATGTACCTTTATGTATTCTGTGTATGTAGGTGTAGTTAGAAGATGGTCATAATATCCAAGATGCTTTCCTGATATGCTGGCAACTTTTCTTCCTGTACTTTTTTAGTTGGTTCTTAGCAGGACTTGTGGTCCCAATGGTTTCTAAGAGAAGGTTTCTTGCTCTAATTTTCCTTTTTTGTTTCCAGAAAAAGCACATTTTTGATGGAAGTGTTACTTAAGATGGGGATTTGACTTGAAAAGGGATTGGCCGGGCATCTGGTCTTTATCAGTATTGGTTGAGTTATGCAAGTATCAATAGTATGGAGGAGAAGTTAGTGAACATTTGTTGAGGCAAATTATGGAGCCCCTAGACCAGGAGAAGAGACATAACCAAGAGTGGAAGGAGGAGCTAGCAGGTTTTATATATTTGTGTAAACTGTAGTATAATTTTTTTCGTGTTAAAATATCAGCTCGAATTAGGTTCCCATCCTCCTTCTTTAAAAGAGTTTTCAGACAGAGTACTCTTTCATACTGTTTTGCTGTTGATAAGAGTTAGTTATAAAGGAAGTATTACAGCAAGTCTTTTGTTTGTTTGTTTGTTTCTAAGATCTCTGATGGTTTGTTCATTGAATTTTCTAATTTTTTCATGTATATGGACTAATAAAATTTACAATCTTAGGCTTTTTAGAATGTCAGAATCCTAGTGACAAGGCGAAGTACATTGTGTCAATATATTGCATTTATTTTCTGCCATACAACTTTATTTTCTACCATACAACCTTCATTTCATACCTAATTCGAGCGCATTTCCCTACTTCCATGTTCACCAAATCATAACCACACGAAGAGGTTATTCACCACTTAGGAATGAAAGTCCATCTGTTAGTTATTATCTTTGCTGTACTGCAGCACTTCAGAATGAATGCTTGGGAGAGACTTTAAATGCCGTACCCACTCTTTGCCCTCTTCTAAGCGAATGCCGATACCTAAGAAATGCTACTCTCTTTGGTCTGGGGAAAAAAAAAATCCTTCGTTCTTCCCATAAGTTAGCATAAGTTTGGTTGTGGATTTTTAAGACTAGGCTCAAAATAGATAGCATGATTTATTGTATCTGAGTTATGCCAAGTAAATACCTCGATGTTTCCACTCAGTTCTAGGAAGAAAAATCATCTTTGTTTAAAATATGTGCAAGGGGTTTAGTTGATCTCTTTCACAGGAAAATCATGAACGTCATTATACAAACATGCATTTTAGTAATATTTACAGTTACTTAGATAGCTAAAACTTGTTTGTTCTCTTTTCAGTGTCTAGAAGACTAAACTAAAGAAATAACATGGTTGCAATTCATCTTTAATTCCAAATTGCAGATTTTTCTTTATTATTATTAAAATAAAAGTTCCTGTAGATGACATTCAGGAAAACCTGATCAGCAGGGAATTTCCTGCTGTCTGAATTGAAGGAGACAAGTTACGCCACTGCAGTGATAGCCACAGGCACCATTTGAGGGGAACTTGTTGTGATGTAGTGACCTAATGCGGCATTCCTGCCTGTGGGAGACAGATTATGAGACTAAATTGTTGAATTCCTGGAAGGTGGTGGAATAACTATAGATAGTGAAGCTAGCCTTTGCAGAAACTCACAGATGCTATCAGAAGTGCAGACCCACATTAATTTTAGTATTTTCTGAAAGGTAACAAAGCTGTTCATAGAGCAAATAAAACAGTTTATATGGGAACTGATGTAGGATTGCTGAATCTTGCTAAATTTTCTCAATTATCACAATTTTTGTAGGCTTTTAAACTGCCTACTGGCAGGCAATTTCTATTTAATTTTTGTCCTTCAAAAAGAAGTTATTACTATTTCATTCCAGCTAAAATCAAAAGCTGTTGTCTGCTAAGATCATCTCTTTGTGGTCCCTATAAAGGGAGTCGTTTCTTATTAAAAAAAAATCCAGGCCTCTTTATTGCTTCGCGACATGGGCATAAAGCCTTGCTTGGGGCAAGAAAATAATCAGGAAAGTGTATCATTAGATGGTGGGTGTTGTTCAGGAAGGCTGAGGGAAGGTATGGAAGGGAGAGAGAAAATATGTGGAAAGTAAATACCAGGGAGGAAAGAAGATTGAGAGAGAAGGTGCACTTCTCTGATCCACTGAGTACAGGGATCGGGAAGCCATAGTGCAGACAATTTGCATGAACTGGGCAGTGGGAGAAAAGAGAAAGCAGGGGGAGGGTTTAAAAGAAAGATGTGAAATTGGGTATTAAGGCCATGGTTGTGTTGGCGTGGTCTGTTCGTTTGGAGCCAGGCTTATCCCAAATCCATCCTGGCATGAAGAGCTGAAGGAGCTTGTTTAGGATGACAGCTTCAGTTAAGTTGGTTCCTGCAGCTGGTCCTGGAGCATGGAAGAGTCCAAGTGAAAGGATAAACTTATGCTGGTTATTAATTTTACTGGATTGTCACTTGAAATATACTGTGAAGGAAGGGCCTGAATAACATTGCAGCTCATTGTGGATTCTGCTGCTCGTTGCAGCTCTGCCTGTGGTGAGACCAATTTGCTGCACATACAGGAAAGGACCTACCATTCCAGTGTTATCCTACATCCTCAGCTCATCCTGGTGAATAATCATTACAGGAAGTTATAAGACTTGTAAAAATGCCATTTCATTTTTCTCCAAACCGGTATAGCCTTTTCATAAGTAAAAATTGAAAAGAGAACCTTACAGGGCAGTCTTCTTTTACCCATAAGTCTCTGTTGTTCACCCTCTGATGTATGACCTTGTTCTAGTCCTGGGATAAAATCGGGAAGATTTTTATCATGACAAGATGTTCAGAGATAACCTGAAAAATCAGTCTTGCTCAGGAGCTGTCCTTAATTAGACTTTGGAATTGATGTGACAAATACTAGTTTTGTTTTGAGATCTCTTAAGCACAGTCCAGGAAGCGGCCGGCAGGTGGATTAGCAGAAAACCTCAACTTGCACTTGTGTATGAAGTAGGGAATGTGGTAGACTGAAGTCTTGGATAGCACAGACAGCAACAGCCAAGTTTAAATAAGAGAAGCATTAAGCTCCTTTGTTATATTCTTCCTGAAGTTGACAGCCCACATTATGCACTAAGAATTTAAATGTTTTCTCTGTCACTGTCAACCAATAAAATTTAGTTTAAAAACAATAAAGATAAAGCTCTGACTCAGTGATCTAACACTTCAGTAATTTACTATCATAAAATAGTTTTAAGTACAAATGTTTTATCTTATGCCAAGCTGGACGCTAAAGATGTTTTGTCTAAAATATGAGATAATGGAAAGTGTATTGTGGCATGTGAATTACTTTAGCCTCTTGGTGGTAAATGTTTGCTTAACCATAAAAGAACGTGTTGAGGTCCTTGCCAAAGGAAAGGTATTGCCATACTTTGCATTTAAGGTACTGTAAATAAAGCAGTAAATATGTTTCTTTTCATGTATGTTAATACACAAGTTATGAATGCATTCATTCAATAAGAAATATACTGTTATCCCTTTTAAAGGGTTTCAGTAAGAAGAGGTCATAATTACTTTGGCTTGAGTGAAACATGAAACCAAATATTTTCATGATGATTTGAAGTTGAATATGAGAGAATTTTTGCTCAAACTAAGTCTCCCTTAAATCCCAAGAACTCAAATCCTGTTTTACCCTCAGTATTCTAGTTGTGTGCTGACTCCTGATGTACTGCTCTTAATCACACATTACTGTAAATCATTAAGTGTATGAATCCTTCACCATCCAGTGTTGGTTTTGGCAAAAGAAAATACAACTGCATAGTATTTTAATGATCAGAGGAGGTACAGCAGCCATGGGCAATACTACACGTACTGCCTGCAGTATATTTGGTTTTGGACTTAATTTGCCTTTAGCTGATAAAATAGCTTAGTGGTAATTTAATAATGCTGATTGCAGAAAGAATTGCATAACTCGGATTGCAGTGTGATAATATAAGAGCATCCTTTGGATGCTGCTCTTATAGGAAGTGAAAGCAACAGGGTCCCACCTTCAGAGGCCTTTGAAATACCCTTCCTTTCCCTAAAATCTCACATCCAGTTTTCCAGTTAGAGTGTTGGGAGAAAATATTACAGTCTGAGGAAATAATTGTGCTCAGAGAGCTTTTTGATATTTTCTTTTCCCAGAAAATGTATGTTATGTCCTTGCTAGTATTAAAATCCAAAATAAACTTCCTGTTATTTTTAAGGTACAATGAACTGGATGCCAGTAGAAGCCTCTTAGACAATTTGAAAGGCAAAGTAATAATTGAGTATCCAACATTATTTGTGGTCTTGAAAACACTGAAGAATGACATGGTGGTTCTTGGCAAAGGTGAGCATATATATATTTCCTGTTATGCTATACTTAGATATTTTACTTACAGAAACAGTAATTAAGGATATACCTATTAATAATGTCAGGAATGGGCAGTATGTTTTGTATTTCACTCTGAATCAAAACAATTGCTATAAAAAAGCTATTATGAATACTTTGTCTTAAAAATACTGACTGATGACCTACATCCATTAGCTGTGTTGTATGTGTTTTTCTAACTTTTTTTACTGGTACTTTATTCTTTTTCTAAAAAAATATTTATAGCCTTTAAAGTAAAACAACTCTTCAGACTTGTGCTAATTTTTTTATGTAGCAAAGTCAGGCTGTCTGGGGAAGATGAGTTTCAAGTAAGCCTGGTAATCTTGCATCCTAGCATAGCTCCTAACTTTGGACAAATAATTCTGAATTGTGGGATATTTATTAGGAATCATAATGGAAAAGTAGGTTTTGGGGTGGGTTAAAAGCACAGTGTTATCTTTTGAAATTTACTTGAGGGAAAACTTTCATCTTGGAGTTAACTTGAAAGAGATTCCAGGTCTAGCAAGAATTGGTATTTTAATTTTTAAGTGAATTTCCGTTGTTCTCCCCAGTATAAAGGCTTTTCTTTCTGCAGCTGCTGAAATAGGGAATCAGTTCTCTTGTCTCCTAGTCCCCCACCTGGTCACCTTAGCTGTCAAATTCCATACTTTTCAGTGGTGAGCCAGCCTGTAATTTTTACAAATTTTTGAGGAAAAGCTTTGAGATATATTTGCAATTACTGTTTCCCTGTGGCAGCTCAATCATGGCTCTGTATCTATATGATTTAACTGAATAAATATGTGACTGAGAATATTGTACCAGTGATACTGAGCTTCCATGGATCTTGGCTGTTCTGGCTAGATTACACTGAGTGATCCACTAAGTGAGGGCAACCTGCTCTCAAAGATATGGCGTGTAAAAATTCATTGGGCTGTGCACTGCAAGGGCTTCTGAGAGTGAGACGGTGTGCCAGGGGATAAGGTAGGAGTGTTGTCTACATGACTGGGTCTACTGATACTCACCCTGGGAGTGCAAAAAACAAACACTGGAGTACATGAAACTAGGTATTTTTGTGTTTATCCATTGTTTCTTGATATAGATCCCTTGCTTTTCATTAGTCAGCCCTACCCTTATGATTTTGAGATCAGGAGGGAATTACAATTGATTGACTCATATACTTAATCTGAATGGGGTTGTTGTCATCGTCTCCTGAGCTAATAGGGAGGTTGTCCTTTTAAGGGTATAGATTCAAGTAAAGTGTTGATTGAACAACTATATTTTGAGGTCATGCTGCAGCAGCACCTAGCTGATTCTGTAAAAGGCAGAGAAGGGGAAGAGAGAGACAGTAATAGCTGGGGAAAGCTCTGTCACAGGGCAGGGCAAGTGTGTATCTTAAGGACAGTAAGCTTCCTCTGCTGCAGGGATCATTGGGTTAGCAGTCATCCCTGAAGCTGGTATTCTAGGAACACTGACAGCTATTTCCGGTTTTGAGAACTATTAGTTTTCTTTTGTTTTTCATTGTTGTTTTAACTGTTTCTATATATTCCATAAAAAAGAATTTAATAGCTCCCTATTGAGGTGTCTTGGGTATAACACAGCAAAAATTATGGCAAAAATATCATGATTTTTGCAACTTTTATCATAACTTATTTTTGTCATCTTCTCAGTTAGGATGACAAACTCAGCCTTGAGTTTGTTTTGGATCCTGTGCTCTTGGAATTTTTTCTGTTAAGAGTGGAAGCCTGTGACACTAACTTCAGATTCTTTCAGAAAAACTGTGTTCAGAACATGAATATAAAACTAGGAGGGCTTTTTTGTTGCTATTATTCTGTCTGAAGACAAAATACCACTTTTGTTGAAGTGTGTCACAATCAGTGTACTCTTCTGTTCTGTGTCATGTTTACAGAATATAGGAGGAAAAAAACCAGTTTTCATTTTGCTTTAGCAGTTGCATTCACAGATAATTGCTAAGAGTGCAAATCTTGAGTTCATCTCCAGACTGTCCGGGGAGAAATCTGTTGTAATCAGAGAGGTATTCTAGCCCCTTCCCATCTCCCAAGAAGTGACCTTTCTGCTACAGCATCTTCTGTGCTTCCTGCAGTCCAGTTTCTTTGCCATGTATGGCTTTTTGTATCAGTTGCATGCTCCTCCTATGCCATCCATCCTGCTCTTGCTTATCCTATTTCTACCAATACTGCCTTTCCTTTCTGCCTTACTTGTGCCCCTGGAGGGACACTTGTCTCGCTCAGAGCGCCTGTCCGGCTGACCTCCCTTTGCATTCCAGGCAAACAGCTGCCACATTGATGAGTGGATGTCTGGCAGGGTGTCTGCTGCAGTACGAGGGCTCAGCTACCATAACCCTTCTGACTCTGCTGGCAAGGGACCCAGGCTGGAACAAGGAACAAAGTCTTGTGGGAATTTTAATTGCTAAAATATTGTTTCTTTACTGAGCAGTCTCAGATCTACCCCCTTCCTCGGGAAGAACAGAGGCAAGTTTTTGTAGCCACAGCAACAGGCACACGTTGGGGAAAGATCACCATTCTACCTGTGATTCAAGTAGTAACCCCCAAAGACTGGGGGAGAGCTAGAGCTGGACACCTTCAAAGAGAAGCTGCTAAAATTTAATGAGCATGAAGACTTTTTCCTCTCCTTTTTTTTCAGAAATGGCTGATGTATTTTGGCTGAAACTTTCAAGTAAATAAGGAAAATGAGGATTGAGAACAGAAACTGCCACTGAAAAATCCGGAGTTTAAATTTTTAATTATAAGTAAACTGCAGACAGTTTTATGGTGGGAATGGGCAATCTTAATTTATAGGCAATGCTATCAGCACCATACAAATATGTTCTTTTTGAGTGAAGACAATCTATAATTCCTGTTAAATAAAACTTATTGTAACAGACAAAAATAAAGCTAAAATTTGTCTGTTGAGCTTTGCTGTGAGTCAGAAGATTGCCACATTCTTTTATGTGATGTTTTGATGCTTGACTTGCTTAATAGCAAAACCTACAGGTGCTCTGATTTCAGCATACAAGGTCAGTCATGGCTGAAGATAGTAGGGGATTATAGAAGTTTTCACAGGACTTAGGGGCAAAAACAATCCTTACTTTTTGCATTACTCAGTACATATCTGGCATATAAATGTTAATTGATTATACACTAGATTTAATGTAGACAAAATGTGACCTCTGATGTTTCTGGGTGAAATGCCTCTATTTTCTTGAACAAATTCCTTGGAAACTGTACAGGTGCACACTGTGTCCTATGTATTATCCATGTTTGCCAGCTGTAGAACTTATCTTGACAAGACAGTAACTATACTTCATCAGCTCCCTTTCTCATAATGAAGCATCTGACACTAAATGCTCAAACAGGTCTTTAAATTCATAGGCAGATCAAATACTGAAAATAACAATGAGAGCAGAGAGCAGAGTGTGAATCATGGGCCTGCTTTGCTGTAGTTTATTTTTGTGCTGCTTGAGTGTCACCAACCAGTGGCATTTGGTGACCTCACTACAAGGTGACGAGGGTCAGTGCTTGTTAAAGAAGGATTCATGGGGTGTGAGGCTGAAGACCAGTTTTGGAAATGAGTGCTTCGCTATATGATCTCAGCAGAGCACAATAGCCATGCCCTAAAGCACAAGTTGTTGTGCAGCTTGAACCTCATCAGCCTTAGCTATGGATTCACATAGTTTATCACCATCTTTGGGATGCTGGAACATGTGGAAGAAGCACATAGGTACATCATTTTAATTTTCTGTTTTGAATTTCTCAGTAGTTCCCCATCCTAACTGAAATGCTAGTAAAAGCGTAAATGACTTATAATGTGTTACAGTTGCGATACGTGTATGTAGCAACTCGAAAACGACATTTAAAGCAAACCAAGCGAAGGACTTACAATTCTCAGTGGAGGAAGAGTTTTGTGCTTTTCTACTTGACCGAAAGACCAAGATTTAAAAACTAAAATAAATTCTCGACATTGCCTGCTTTCTCCTTCAACAACAAGATCGTACCCAGGGCTTTATCTCATGTTGTGAGACTGGTTATGTCTTATGAAATAGCTGTCCTCAAGAAAAGTGTGATTGAAAGGAAAAGAAAATAGGAAACTGCTTCTGGTTGATGAACCAACAACATTACTGAAACTAATTGCTTGTTTGGTTTTTGTGTTCTATATCCTCAGATGGCAGTGAACCTGTAGAGAACTCGGACAGTGAAAGTTCATCTATTTCATCTGTGGAGGAAGGGGAAATTCGGGACAGTTCATGACGGTGCTTTGAGAGGAGAGGGTGGAATGAGCTTTTTGGGTTTTTAATTATTTAATTAAATGATTTTTTATACAACTGAATTCCTAGAGGTTTGGTTTAACTTTCTTCGCTAAAGTGCCTGCCTATTTTTGGATTTAGTAATGCATATTTAGGGATGTAAATAAAGAGATGGGGAATTGCTGGTTCCAGAAAAAAAAATATATTCTTATTTAATTGCAGCCTTCAATTGCACCATTGTTTTTCATTTTTTTCATTTTCCTCTATCAAGCTCAGTGTCTAACTTCCAGGTTTAAATATCTGACCACATATTTGTATTTTATGTGGATTTGGGTCTTAATGCTTGAACTTACTGAAGAAAAATGAAATTAATTCTAATGAAATCAATGTTTCATTAGACATAGACCCTGAAAAGGGTCTTTTGTTACTTTTGACTTTAGTCTTTTATGGTGACATTTTGTGTGCTTTGGTGCAATACTTTTTTTGTCTTACTTGGTTGCATTGTTGTTTAATATGTTAATGGACAGGTGTTTTCAGGGTGGCTTGTTGCTGTATGTTTAATCTTCTACCTGGATCTTCTACGTTAGCGTGGGGTTTAAAATCAACAGAATTGGATGCATAGAGTGGCACTGATGCAAATATACTGCACTTCTAAAGAATGTTTGTGTTCTGCATCTCATGTTCCTAGTATACCTACTGAAGTTAGGTATTGTAAATACTTACTGGCATATCAACTCCATTTATCTACTTTAAAACAAATAAATTGTAAAGGAAAAAAAAAAATCCTGTACTTTATCATCTGCTGACAATAGAAGTTTGTGGTTAACTTCTGGGAAGATTTCTAGATCACAGACCACGTATCCCTGCATCCAAGTCCCCCCTGCCTGTGGGGTCTGTTGCAACTGATGCAGGACAAGTGAGCCCCCGTACCCACTTGCACCAGGGCAATCTCATGTCTCAGCATCAGTGTTGGAGTTAGTGTGCAAGGGTCTAGCCAGGTCAGTGTTTGTAAAGTCTTCAGGATACGATCCCTCTCTGAACAGCTCTATGAGGTTGTTGCTGCCTGTATTATTACCCCAGTCTCTGTCTCCTGCTTGAGACTGGCACCATCTGTGACAAAAGTTGGTGTCCTGGGTGCACGTTCAATTGCCACGAAGATGATATTTCAGTTGTAAGCGTTCTTCCTGCCAGTGCTGACATAGTAGGTAGAAATACAGCAGAAAGTAGTGAAGGAACTTGTGGAGGTAACAGGAGGCTGTGGGAGCAATACAGGGGAGGGCTGAGACTTCCAGGCTCTGTCTAGGCTTCAGGGCCCCAGGATGCTAGGTCCTCACCAGTCATGCTGCTGCATGGAGAAGATTTTGGGGATGTTCAAAGTTTTAGAAATTTGGGAGTTTTTCCTTTTGTTCACCATGACATCTCACCATGACATCTCACTACTAAGTTTGGACAGACTGTCAGACCTTTGCAGTCACATACTACTTTCTCTCTCAGTGGTGTCACGTGTCCTTTCCTTGTGTGTTTTGCAAACCCTGGTAAAACAGGGAAGTTTTTCTTCTTGCCTGGCAGTAGCCACCTGTGCTCTGTTTTCCTTTTTACTCATTGTTGGTCCTCTGCCCACCTCTTGTTTCAATGTTTGTTTTTTTAACCCTTTATAAAGGACTAGAATTCCTAGCTATAGGTGCTGCTTTCATATTTTTTCAGTTGAGTGAAAGTGAATAAGCTTTTCCTAATCAGTGATTGCTGCACACTGACTTGGTAACCACGAATTACTTTAAACCAGTCTTGAACTCATTCATAGTAATACCAATAAAAGAGCAGAACAGCGAAACTGCCACAGTTCATTTGCTAGAAAATGTTTCATCTGGAGTAAAGGCATGGCATTTCTGTTGGATTCATAGCACAGTAAGGAGAGTGCTGCAAATGTTAGTGTTGATCTGCATGTGCGTGTGATTAGTCTTTGGCTGAGGAACGCAGATTTGTAATTCCCATTACTTTCCTATGCTCTTGGGGGTTTTCATGAATTGTACGAAAGGGTTTGCCTCTGGGGTTTTTTTCTTATATAAATCTAGTTTAAGCTTCCTTATGAGTCAAAACGCAGTTTAATTCATTTTTAAATGAAGATGTTGTTAAATCTATCCTTCAGATTTAGCTCCTTCTCTACCTTAAAGAAGGCTTTAAAAATGATTAAGGAACATTCCTGTGGTGGTTACTAGAACTGAAACTTCCCAGACAGAGCTAAGAATCATCTTTCAGAGTTCAATCAAATTGAGAACCTTGGTAGCATTTGCCATTCATTCCTAGGTTACTACTTACCTATTTTTACAGTTACACTAGTTTGAACAGTGATGATTCATCAAATACAAACCCAGATGCAATTCAAATATTTTATTCAGTTTTCCTAAGCTTTTTCAATTTTTCTTTATAATGAGGAATCAAAAAACACAGCAACAGCACTGTTGTAGGAACTTCAACAGTGGTTAGTTCATAATAATAATAATGTTACTGATTAAATCAAGGGTTTTGCACCCTTTGGCTAGGCAGATGTTTTTTAACACTTTCATAGGCATTTAGGAAAGTTTTTAATTTCTTTCTGAGTGACTTAACATGGAACAAGCACCTTGTAATAAGCTGAAGAGAGAAAAAGCATCTTCTGTATTTTTAAATTTCTGGTCAAGCACTAGAAATTTAATGCATGGAGCCAAGGCTGTCTGGAAGACTTCAGTTCTGTCCGTTTTGAAAACATACTATTGTAATCAAAGAAGGATCCCTACAGGACTCTGCCTTGATTCAGAACAGATCATGTCTGTGAATGAAAACTGTGTGATGTCGTTTTAATCTGCATCATTCAACACCAGCTTGCGTTGAGTGTTTGATTTTATGCCTACTATGCTTACTCATTTATTTTCCTCTGTAAAGTACTTGTCACAGAAGGAACAAGCTGTTTGTGTGTAGGTTGTTACAGCATTTCTTTTAATGTTTAGACTTTTCAAGTTTCAAACTCTGAACCCAGCATGCTTGAGCTGAAGGACCATCAGCTTCCAAAGAGTAAAGGCTCTTGTCTTGAATGAACACACTACTTAAAAAAATCAAAAGCTTAATGAAGTCATCCCTTTCACAAACCTTAAAGGACAAAAATAGAGCATAGCTAAGCACACAGCAATAGCTGGGAGGTAGGACTGAGTCAGCCATAGGAGGGAACTTGGTTGTTTTCCTTTTTTGTATAACTTCCTGGGGTATGAGGCACAAGTTATTGAGTTGTCATGGATAAACAACGTTCTACCCCCCTCTCAGTGTAACAGCAAAGTTTTGAATGAATGCATCTGAATTCTAAGTTTTACTGCATTTATCTTGGCATTAGGAATTGTTGATCCATAGAGGAAAAGAGGGCCATGCCACCGAATGTGTGGCTGGCAGCAGTCCTTAGAGGCAGGCAGGACCAGCTTTTGTTACTCCAGTCAACAGTGCAGTTTTACTCTGCATTAGGGGTAAAACTGTTTACAGTGCAGAACATGCACTGTATTCTCAAACAGTACGTAGATTTCTAAGTTCATGGTAGTGCTGATAGCAAGTCCCAGCTATGTGTTGTATCATCAGTCCTTGCCCTCCAGATATGGCTGTTCTCTATTGACATCTATAGGAGCTGAGAATGTATAATACCGTGCAAGAGGAGACTTTCCAGGGGTAAATATACAGCTGTGATGAAGTAAGTTCAGGCCCTATTTGGTCACAGACTTTTCATTCTGCTTTCTTAAGTCCCACGCTCTTTTCCTGAAAACATTTATTCTTCCTCTCTCCGAAGGAAGAAATATCTTGAATTTGTGTTTATGTCGTTGCTATGACATTCAGTTAAACTGTATGCAGATGCAGGTTCTGTTAATAAGAGGAAAAAAAACTGTACTGTGTACTTCAGTGAACAAAGATTACCCTGTGTTTGTGTTAAAATGTTGCTATGGCAGTGCATATGGTTTTATTTGCTGGGAGTCTGTGGTGAAATGGAAAGAGGTCACATGTATGCAAGACAAGAAATGGCAGCAAAAACAACTCAAAATAAATACTGAAACTGAAAGGGAAATTGCAGATGACATGTAAGAGCAGGAAAAAACAGGGACAGTTGTTTTGCTGGCTGTCTGTCTGTTATTTGATAATAGAAATGTCTTCCCACTGTGCCCCAGTGGGTCTCAGTGACCCATGGTACAGTGACTTAGCTCTAATGATGCTTTTATTGTGAGAACTTCTTTCCCTCAATGGCCCTGTGCATTGTAGCTTTTCTGTTGTTGCTTTGGAAGCAAAGTTACTCTGGCTTGTCCTGATTTCACCACTGCTAACTTCTCCTGAGAAAAGCATTTCAAGGCTATCTTAATATAGTAGGCTTTTTGACAGGGAAAATCAAGAGTGATAAAATAGGGGAAGCCACTAGAGCCTTGCCTACCTTTGGGGCAAGGAGAAGTCTTTGTGAACTAGTGATAGAAACAGTGGATTTAATTTATGGGTTTTTTAACTGGCACAGGAGTCCTTGTATTTATCTAATCCATTTGCATGCGGCTTCTTTTTGCATCAGCTGCATCAGTACAGCTGTTCGTGTGGTTGCATGACAAATCAGAACGAGTTCAAAATCATCTGCCAAAGAAGGAGGGATAAAAATGAGAAGGGAGAGAGGGAGTCTTTTAGAGAATAAATGACCACACTGGGAGCTGGCTGGTTCCTGCATCATTCCAGCTGGTGGAAAAGCAAAAGTGTTTTTAAAATCACGTTGCCACTTTCTTCCGATCATCCTTGTTCTGCCTCAACAAGGAGGAAGAAACAACTATGAAAGCTGCTGTTGCCTTTCCACTCCTTGCTTCCAGGTTCTCTACTGGAACTGTATTGTAGCTCCAGAATTTGTGTGTTTTGCCAGGAGTTCCAATAGGGAGTAGAACTGTGCTCAAGTGAGGTAAAAATTAAGTTGAGGTATAGATATTAATGAAAAAGAATGGACTTGCCAAGAAGTCCCCGTCACTTCCACACAGCCAGGAGGGCCAACTGTGTCCCAGGGGACATCAGGCACAGCATCCCCAGCTGGTCAAGGGAAGTGATTGTCCTGCTCTGCTCTGCACTGGAGCGGCCTCACCTTAAGTCCTGTGTGCGGTTTTGGGCACCACAATTTAAAAAAAGACATTAAGCTATTAGAGAGCATCCAAAGGAGGGCCACAGGGATGGGGAAGGGTTTGGAGGGGAAGCCATATCAAGTGTGGCTGAGGTCATTTGGTCTGTGCAGCCTGGAGAAGAGGAAACAGGGGAGATCTCATTGCGGTCTCCATCATCCTCAAGAGGTGAAGCAGAGGGACAGGCACTGATCTCTTCACTCTCATGACCTGAGACAGGACTCAAGGAAACTGCATGGTGCTGTGTCAGGGAAGGGTTAGGTTGGATATTAGGAAAAGGATTTTTCACCCAGAGAGTGGTTGAGTACTGGAACAGGCTCCCAGGGAAGTGGTCACAGCACCAAGCCTGTCTGGGGTTCAAGAAGTGTTTGGACATTACTCTCAGGCACATGGTGTGATTTTTAGGGTGTCCTGCACAGGGCAGGAGTTGAATTCAATGGTCCTGATGGGTCCCTTCCAACTCAGCATATTTTATGATTCTGTGATCTAAAGTTTGAGTGATATCTCTTTGTTGACCTTTTTTCCGAGCCTCTATTTTCAGCTGTGCTTGGGCATTCATATTGGTTTTAGTGGGAATGTTCCACTACAGCACAAGTATCTACTTCTGTAGAGAAAAATATATTTTCCTGTTTCAAGTTCTTGTTAATAAACTTGCTGATTTTACAGCCATGACATCTTGATGTCTGATTTTGTCCATTAATTAGCTAATGATTAATTAGTTTTGTCATTAATTAGTTAATTAACTAATTAGGATCTAACCTGGTTAGTTTGAGATGCTGAAGGAAATAAGTAGCTTCAGAGAAACTGGTGTCTTTGACTTGGCTGATACGCTGGGCTTCTTTTGATCTTATGTTCAGTGTTCAGTGTGCTGAGCTACACTGCTGAGGTGAAGTTGTTAACATTCATGTCCCAGTTGGATTCCCATCTGGGCAAATCTGTGTACCCTACCTTTGAATTTTTTCTATCTAGTGAATGAAAACCTACAAAATAATGTGTAATCTTTTCCTCCTGGACGGTTGCTACATTCCATCCTGTAAGTGATTGTACTTCAAGACAGATGAAGTTGCTTATGTGACTGGTGCCTTGGGGTCTTTCAGGATCTTCTCCAATATAGATGGTGTACACAGAAGTCATAGCTCTGTAGTTTATATGTGGAGGAAAAATCATAGCATAGTGGATGCCATCTATTCAATTTCTTAGTGTTTAGTCTTTATAGGATAATAGACAGATGCTTATTGTGTCATTTTGTTGGTTGGAGTCTTTTTTTACAGGATTTATATTTTCTAGACACCAAGTCTCACTGCAGTTCAATGCAGTTCAGTTGTTCATGAGTTGAAATGCATTTAATAGGTATCTTCAAAACTAGTTGTATGTTACTGCTTTCACTGTGACACCTCCGTGTTTCTATGTGCTGTTTTATTTGTGGCTATGTAACATGGAGAAAAAAACTGTGAAGGTGAAAACAGGAACATGTCTACATGAAAAAAACTGGCTTGAGACAGAGCAGCTGGTAGAACAACACAGTCTTTCCTTGCTGTGTGTTGAGCACTCGGAGCCCTGTGTGGAAATAGTTCCGCCGATTACACAAGTAAACTAAATTATGCACATGGATTTCTGCAGGATCAGCTCAGAAGGGCAAGCATCTGGCAAGAGCAAGACTCTGCTGTGACACATTTAACTGCTTCTGTGTAGGTGCGTAGGTTTGACTTCCAACCCTGAATGACTGCCCACTGCGAACTCTTTTGTTTCAGTCCTCAAGATCTCTGAGGGACTCATGCACTTTCAGTGGACTGGAAATCCTGCTGCAGCAATCCCGCTGATCCACAGTGTCTCTGCATAGCCCACTGGCTGCCCACCTGTAGCGGGGAGATGTGGCTGTTCCCAGCCGGTGTCCCCTAGAGGGTCAGGCAGCCCAGTGGGGCTGCTCTGCCGTGGGCTCTGTGGGAGTTGATGTGTGGAGTACAGAGATTCTCACGGCTCAGCAAGGGTTCAGTAGTAGCTCAGTCGTCCCACTGTCAGTACGATGTCAGCTCTTCCTTCACCTGCTGCTGCTTCAGGAGAGGGAGCTGGCAGCATCCCACGAGAGGATTTAATGTAATCATGGAAGTCTGGTGTCTGTGTATTCCAGCTTTTGTTTTGTTTCCTGTCATGGAGCACTTAAAGAGGCTGAAACTTTGTCTTCGCTGGGTTGCCTTTATTAGTAGGGAAGATTTTATGTGTAACCCTGATGTTATAGGAGTTACCAGCATCAAACCCTTGTAAGTAAGTGCGTGGAATACAAGGCTAACATTCCTTCGATCCTAAACCTGTAGTGTGACAAACGCTCCTTGTGGCGGCAGCACCTGATTCGGCCGAGTGCCCCATGCCCGGTGCGGCGCTGACAGTCCCAGCGGTTGGGAAAGGAGCAGCCGAAGGACCCGGGGCAGACAGAAGGGAGAGGGGGGATGGCTGGAGCTGGGCTGCTGCGGAGTGGACAGTGCTGCTCTCCCTCCTGGCGTGTCCGGACTCTCTCGGCTCTACCCGGCACCAGGAGGCTCCACACAGGAGTGCTGGTGGCTTTACTTTCAGGATTTGAATAGCTGGATGGTCTGGCACTGAAATTTGCTGCAAATGTACAGCTTCTTGTCCTGTACATTACTTATCATGTTCCTAACTCCTCATCTTCTAGTATTCCTCTTGGAGAAAGGTGTTGATATTTTAGTTTTTGACAAGAAATAAGATTATAGTTGTGCTCATTACCTTACCTAAAAGCCCTGCTGATGCACTTAATGGTGTCTGTGCTTTTATCCTTTGTATTTCCACACCTGCTATTTAGGGTTTTTTTTTCTGCTAGAACAACAGAGGATATAAATATTTCAAAGCAAGTGCAAAGACACAAAAAAATGACACTGTTGTAAAAGTAGTTTTGTCATGTAATTGTGAAATGCAAAAAAAGAAGAGAAGACTATATGGATGGTGATGAATTAGTGTGACAGCCCAGCTTTGGAAGACTTGCAGTTCTTTTTAGTGGGATTCATTTCCTCTCTTTATATCACAATAATTTCACTTAGTATATTTAACTTATGTTTATGTGATCTGCTCCTGCAGCCCTTATTCTCCCAACAGTATATTTTTATAGTGAGCAGATTACAGAACCACCCCTCTACATGAGGAAACATGGAAAAACCAAAGTGCAGGCTGTAAAACCCAGGGCCAGGCTAGAGCCACACTTGAGGCAGGAGTTGGAAGGGCTGCTTTTGTTTGTATATGGTGTGTGTGTTACAGGCGTTATGGTCTATGTGTACAGTATAGTTACAGGCAAATGTGATTTTTGGGGGAACTGTTACTTACGTTGGTGTGAAGATGGATGTCATTCGAGTGTAAGTGACAGTGGGGATGGCGAGGAATGCGCCTGCAGCTGCTGGGTGTCTGGGAGCAGTGTATTCCTCTTCTTCTGTCCATTTAATAACCCAGTTTGTAAACCTGATGGTTTCTCAGTGAGCACCCAATGTAGTGAAGTGTTCAGTGCCAGATCTAAGTAGAAGCCAAACAAAAGTGCTTCCCTGCATTTTACACTTTCACTGTCAACAAATGCTGTACAGACAAGTTTAGGTACAGCTGAGACTGGTGGCCAGGTGGCGAATTCCGAAACAGCTCAAGTTTTGAATGCCTTCCGGGAGAGAACTTGACTGAGCAGAGGGAGGGCTGTAATTTCTCAGGCAAAGCATTAGCTGCCAGAGATGAGCTTCTGAGATATTTGGCTATTTATTTGATTGAGATATTTGTCTAATTAATAAAAAGGTGACCCTTGACCAATTCTGTTTTTAACTAATGACACTGGATGACACCCCTTCACAATTCTAAAACCTCAAAACCAGTCTCTGTATTTTATGAGCAGTATCTTTCTCACTAAAGACTGGGAGAATGTTTTGCCGGAAAAATACTCACACAAGAAGAAAAAAAATACCCTGTTGCAGGTTTCCTTTCACTCTTATCTGTGGCACAGCTTCAGGCTAACCAGAAGAGTACAAATGTTTGCTGCTTTCTGAGGTCCTGCTCTAGTTCGGTTTTTTTAAATGTCATTTTCTTGCCGCGTGCCAGCGAGCTCTCTTACAACTCCCTCGGTTAGCCAAATGTCATCTGTGTCCCACAGAGTAAAGTGTAATTGTGTATTTAAAAAGTGGGAAGGAGAAGTGAGGAAGAGAAAAGAGTGGCTGCTTTGCCTTTTAGTTTATTGGACAAGTACTCGAAATTCCTCACATTCTTCTCCTGTTAACAGTATGTTTACTTTTCATCACTGGGTTATTAGGATTAACAAAAGTCATTGCTTCAAGCTCATTTAATTTGAATTTAGTGAAAGCAAACTACCTCCTGCAGACTGTAGGAAGCATTCTTCTGCTGCAGAAATGTATTAATTTGCAAAAAGCAGCCACCAAAAAGCAGAGACTTGCCCAGTGTTCAACATCACCATGCATGCACTGCATTCTAATGAAGTACCTTATGTTGCAAATTCCAGGACAGTTTGAATAATCTGAGAGTCTAATTAACATTTCAGTCTATCAAAGATTTGCTTTCAATGCCAAGAAGCTCTTTCTGTATATACTTTCTAGAGTGTGGGGGTGCAGACTGTGGACACCACTTCAAAACATCATTTACCCAAAGAATTAGACTCTGCTTTCTAGTCCATTGCTGCATCTGCAGTAGAGCTTGTTTTAACTTTCACAGTATCTAAGAAGCCTCTTGCATTTGCTGTATGTTAAGCCTGTTGCCTGTCAGAATGCTCTACTAAGAGTAGTTAGGTAAATATTTCTTTATTAAATGATTAATTCCATAAATAAATTCTTTTAATTCATTGAATATAAAATTAAAATCATTTACAACTTATTCCAGTATTACAGGGGCTGGAAGGGGTAAAAAAAAAAAGAAAAAAGTAAAAACAAAACAAAAGCTACAGGTTGATAAATAAAATACTCAGCTTTAAAACAACTGATTTCTGTTTGCCATTAAACTACAGTTGGTACATGATAGCTGCCATTGTGAACACCCCACAAGTGCCCACCTCAGGAAGGAATGTAACTTCCAACTTGGTTGGGAAAGGATGGGAGAAGATTGGAGGGATGGAGAGAAGCATAGTGTTAAATTGAACAGAATAGTAAAGTTTTCATAACCGGAACGAAACATTTATCTGATCACTTACAAACAGAAAACAGTATATAATTAGATAAGGTGCTCCAAAAAGAAGCAGTAAAATTGCTCCAGTACTATGAAGCTTTAAGTATGCTTAAATCTCTGTTGCATTAGTGTCCAGTTGCACAGTGCACTCCTGTAACATCTCAATGTTGCCCTCAAATGGGCAAGGCACCATTTCCATCAGAGGTCCTTTCTCCATGGCTGGTTACTTCAAAATTCTGTTTTGCATCCCACCCCCAACACAACTTAGTCCCTAAATTTATGGATGTCATTGACTAGTCTGTAGAAGGGATAAGCCTCATTTGCATGTGGACAGTTGTAGTTGCATCGGCAGGACTGGATCATCATGACACTCTTGGTGAAGGTTTCCCCATCATCGCAGCGGAACCTGACCTTGACAGTCCTGGTCTGCTGGGGTGTACAGCACCTGCCATCCACGCAGGAACCACAGTACTTGGGGCGGTACTTCTTCACACTGGAACATCCGGCGTAAGTAAACTTCACTGGGGATGGGGACTTCCTAGTCTTGGTACATTTTTTTCCCTTCTGTAAAGTAAAGGCAATAACATTATTAGCAGGAGATTCTTCTCCAGCCTTTACCCCCTACCCGAAGCAGCTTAGAAAGAAAAGGAACACCAGAAGAGTCTGTATTTACCTTTAGGGAGGCATAGCTAGGCTGGCCACATGGCCTCACTTCACATATCCTGGTCTCTTTGATGAGCTTGCAGTCAGCATTGTCATTGGTCACCCTTGTGGAGATGCCAGTTCCACATGTCTTTGAGCACTGGGACCAAGAAGTTGTTTGCACAATGCATTTGGGATTCTCAAAAGCTCGGCTTTGTGGCTCGGATCCAAAAACTGGAAAAGAAAAGGAGGGCTTAGCCTAAATATATTCTCTCACTGTGTTTCTTTCTTTCCATTGGGGTCTAAGGAGTCATATAGCCACTCTCTCGCCTCCTCCCCTTAATGTCACGCAGATAAACTCACACTCACCAGGTAACATTTTCAGGCCTCCCTTCACAATGGCAATTAGCTCGTTGTTCCTGGTTAGTTCGCCTTCAGAATCATCCGGACCGAACTCTTTGCTGAAGAAGCCTTCCAGCTCCTCCAGCGCATCCTTGCTTTCGTCACAGACCCACTCCTCGCAGCACTGCCCGGGCACTTTGACCAGCCTGGGGCTGGGGCAGCCCAGGTTGGGAAGAGAGAGCTCCTGCGGGCAGAGCGGGATGCAGCCCACAGCTCCATCTATGCACGTACACTGGTGTTTACAGTTCGGCTGGAAGCTCTCCCCGTTCTGGTAGATTTTGGAGTTATATTCACACGGTCTTCCCTCGGACTGTGCTGCAGAGATCAACAGGGAGGGAAAGAAGAGAATCAGCGGCGGGAATCGCTGGTTTAAGCGCAGATATTTGCTGGTCTGTTAAACTCAGTGTACAGCGGAGCTCCCTACAACCCCCCGGGGACGCGGGGCCAGAACAATAACTTAGTCAGGAATCACTTTTCCTTATGTGCGTTTAGCGGAGCCCAGACATACTGAATCGCATTCCAGACTGCTGAAGTCATGTGCCTTTCTGCCAAGCTACCGACAACAAAGCATAACCATACATGGGCTCGAAATTACCGAATCCCGGCAGTGCGGGACGCGGGGTCCGTCCCGGGGGAGCGGGGTCGCCGCTTACCTCTGCAGATGCCCTTCAGGGCGGCGGGGCTGGCCCCGAAGTTGCACTCCAGCCCCTTGGTGTGGTCGCAGGGCTGCGATCGGCTGCAGTCCTCGTTCAGCTGCTTGGCGCAGACCTTGCAGCAGCCGCAGCCGTCCGGCACCAGCCCCACGCCGGGGGCGCACTGCGGCGCGGCCGCCGGGCACTGGCACACGGCGGGGCAGGGCGAGCCCAGAGCCTGCGGAGCGGAGCGCACGGTGAGCGCCGGCAGCGCAGCGGGGACACCCGACCCGCCTCCCCCTCCCCGGCCGCAGGAAGAGCCGCGGCACTTACCAGGCGGGCCAGGCAGAGGAGAGCGGCCGCCAGAGCGGGGCGGGTGCCCGCGGAGCCCATGTCCAGCGCCGGTGCAGCGGAGCCCGTGTGAGCGCGGAGCGGGAGCGCGGCCGGCGCGGTCTGAGGCGGCTCCGGGCGCCGCCGCCTTATATGGGGCGCGGGGCCGCCGCGTGCGCCGCGGCGCTGACGTCGCGCGTTCCGGGCCGCGGCCGCGTCCAGCGCTCGCGGCATCCCAGGAATGTGGCTGGCGCGCGCCGCGGCCGCCCCGCCCCGCCCCGGCTCCGGCACCGCGGCCAAGGCGGCGGCGCTGCCGCGGGGGGTCCCTCCGCGCGCGGGGGGCCGCGGAGGCCGCTCCCCATCCCGCGGGCGCGGAGGGTCCCCGCGAACGCGAAGGTGGTAACGGGAGGCGCTGTTCGCCCTCGGGGCTGTGCCGGCGGCGCCCGGACACCTACGGGACAGCGGAGCTGCCCTGCCCGCCCCGGGCGCCCGCGGCGCTGCCCCTCCAGATCACACTGCCCGGGGGTCACCGGGGCTCGGGCCCTGGCGCTGCTGCCATGCGAGGGATGAGTCACAGCCCTTCCCCGTACGGCAGACCCCGGGAGCCTGGCTGTGCCCAGCGGCACCGAGAGGCCCGGTTTCCAGACCGGGAACGGGATGGCCACGCGGCGAACATCCTCCCTCCCCGTCAACCTGTGTATCTCCGGCCTCAGTGCCCCTCACTCAAGTTGGGTGCCCTTGAATAGTATTGCCTCGTTGAAGTTTAATATTTGGGGGTGGGGAGGAGAGATTTAGCTTCTGTTGTGGCGTCTTTTCTTTTCCTGGCTGTAAGTATTTCCAGATGGGATTTAGACCCCAGACGTAACAATATTTCCATATTTGGTATAGCAGTAGCCCGCATTTTTCACATTTTTCTGCTCTGTTATCCAACCACAAAGCATTCTTGACAGCTTCAGATGTTGTTAAATATAGCCTTAACTTCTGTTCCCAGGGCAGGAAATTCTTTGGAATTCCTGTTTTTCACGCAATCTGTCTATCATGATTTAGGAGAACTTTGCTGGAGGAGCCAACTGGTGTTCTACTGCAGTTCACTTCTTTATTGAAATAGCTCAGAAGTTGGGTCTGCTGCCCAAAGGCGTTACAATGAATCCCCATTCCAGGGATTTTTCTTTGCAAATGAGATTATTGTTCCCAACACAAGTTTGGGGTTTTTCTTGTCGCCTTCAAGGCTGGAAGGTGGAGAAGCGGATTCAAAGGAGAGGCGAAAGCTTGCAAAAACCCCTCCAAAGCCCATGAAAAGTGGAGGGGGAGGGGGCGAGGGGGACAGTGAGAAAGGAGGGATGCGGAGAGGAGGGATGTGATTAACCTGGCTGCGGCATTCCCATACAGCGGGTGTCCCTGCGTGCCGCCTGCCCGGGACGGGCAGCCGGGGAGGGGAGGCAGCCGCAGCCCCGCCGCTCGGAGGAGCCGAGCCCGGACGTCTCGTCGCCTGCCCGGCGGCCGAAAGGATGACAGAAAGGACCGTTTCGTGGGGACGGTGCGTAGGGCTCCGGTAAGTGCCGCTCCCGGGGCCGCGGGCCCGTGTGCTGTTCCCTGGGTGTTCCCACACCAGCGGGAATGATGAGGCACCTTGTCGGGCCCTGCTGGGGCCGCAGAAAGGAGAGTCCTTGTTGTTTGTCCGCGCCGGAAGCCCTGCGGTGCCTCCGCGGGCACCGGGAGGTCTCGCCTCTCCATCGCGCACCTGTCGCCGGCCCAGCCCCGGGGGGAGCGGCCCGGGGGGACAGCCCGGCTCGGCTCCCCAAACCCGCAGGCACCGCCGAGCTCCGTGGGCAGCACGGGGTCCCGGGGCAGGACCGGACTGTGTGGGATGGGACGGGATGGGGTGGGCGCTGCAGGATGGGGCAGCCTCTCCCCGCAGGGGGATGCCGTGACCCCGGGGACGGGGCGGTGCGATGGGCGTCCCCGTCGCAGGGGACACCGATGCCGCTGCCAGCCGGGCTGGGGAGCCCGGCCCCGAACTCCTCCTCAGGGATGTCCTGCACTGCCTGTGAAGGGCTCGTGTCCTCAGCACTGCTGTCCTTCTTCCCGGCAGTGGCCAGGCCCCTGCCTAGGCCAGTCTTGATGGAGGGTCCTAACTGTAGAGTTTTCCCTCCCTCCCCAATTTGTTCTCTTAATGATTTTCTTTTCATTCCGGTAAATTGGATTGACGTTTTACTTTGTGGTGTTTTAGGGAGTGGGGAAAGGTGATGGGACGGAAGCTCTGAGCACTCTTTGCCCAGAACACATGTGCTTCAGAAGGCAGCAATGTTTTTCTTCATCACTTGTATGCCTCAAAATTCGACCAGAAAGAACAATTGCTGAAAGGGAAAACCAGTCTTTAGTTGCATGCAGCTCTCTCTGGAGACTGCCAATGTGTACCATGTAGCACCATTTCTGATGACAGGAACTATTTAATGTGTCCAGCAAGAATTCAAGAGAGACCACCAGCAAGCTTTGATGGCTGCCAGTAATGGCAGTAACAACTTTCCATCTCCACGTATTTAGCTGAGCCCCAGCTGGTGATGAGGAGTAGGACAGTCCCATTTCCAGACTCCAAGCTATCCACTCCAGTGGTCTTCCCTTGGTTTCACAAGTGTATGGGTTTTCCTGTGGTACTTTAGTTTTAAAACCCTAAAGTGGTTTTTAGATGGGGAATCTGGCTGGTACTTTTTTCCCTGGATGACTCTTTACACAGCAGCATTATGATCAGGAGGAACAAATTTGTGATTCAACACACCTTGATTAATGAAAAAACACCTTGATTAATTTAAAAAATTTTGAAAAAGAAGAAGCTAAGACATCACTGCATGGTTAAATTGGCCAGTTTTGCTTTTCAGGGATTTATGCAAACACTTGTTTATTTAATTACATCTAATTTAAGGACACGCACCGAGCGCTTTGCTTTGATCTATGGCTTTCACAACATTCAGCAAATGCCACAGGAAAAGTCAATGAATAGCGCCTTTTCTCAGTTGGTTTCATGTCTTACCACACATTCACACAACTTTGATGGGAAACTGTAACTGAACCTACATTTGCTCAAGAAAAGGTCACTTCGAAAGCTTTGAAGCACCTTTTAACAAACCTGTCCTGAATTTCAAGTAGTTGTCAACACTTGAGACGGGTTGAGTTTCTTTGGAGTTCAGGTTAGACTGTGACCCTTTCCCTGCACACGTTTCCCTGTCACAAACCATGACCCAGTGTTTACCCTCCAAGCTGTGGAGGGTAAACATCATGGGGTACACTTATGTCTACTTCTCCTGGATGTACATCAGGAAACAGGAAAAAGTTTGGGATATCTTCCTTTTTTAGATTTTGTTCAGTGTAATGTACTGTTCCAGACTTTTGTTGTTCTAAATAAACTGGGAAATACTCCCTGTTTCATGTCACAGAGAGTATTTTACTGGCTTCTCTTTTTTTGCTATAGGCAGTTGCTGGGAGCTCAGCTAATGCAAAGCAGGAATTTGAAACTGTTGGCTTACATAGCAGGTATTACAGATTTACTGAGTATATCCTGTTATTTTCACAGGCCTGTGTCTCTCCAGGGAAGGGACTTTCCAGAGAAATAAATCGAGAAAAAATAACTGGTTTAATTTCCCTCCACCTAGCATCGTTTTTTCCCAGCTGTGCATAGGAACCTTGGAGCAGCATGAAGGGCTGTGTGGGACAGAGGCTCCTCCGGGTGCTGGTGCTCCCACTGACAGTAAGTATCCAGCACCAAACTGGAGCACATCAGAGGTTTACAACCATGTGGATTCTGGAGAAAGATTTTACTAAATCCAGTGTCCAGCCCTTTTTTGTACTGTGTTTAATTTCCTCTTTCTCATTCTCTTTTTCCTTTGCCATCTATTGCTGTGTGCTTCTTCCATCTCTCCTACTCTTTCTTCTCTTTTTCCCTGCTCCAGTCTTTTCCCTGTGTCCTTCCCTCTTCTAGTGTGTCCTGGTTTTGTCTGTGATAAAGTTAATTTTCTTCCTAGTAGGTGGTACAGTGCTGTGTTTTGGATTTAGGATGAGAGTAATGTTGATAGCATACTGATGTTTTAGTTGTTGCTGAGCAGTGCTTACACTAAGTTGAGGACTTTTCAGCTCCCCACACCACCGCACCAACGAGTAGGCTGGGGAGCACAAGAAGCTGGGAGAAGACACAGATGGGACAGCTGATCCCAACTGGACAAAGGGATACTCCATATCAGATGACACTTAGTATACAAACTAGGGAGAAGCTGGCCAGGGGCCAGCTCTCCAGAACTGTCTGGACACCGGTCAGTGGGTGGTAGGAAATTGCATTGGGCATCACTTGTGTTGTATGTTCCAATTATTTTGTCATTTATTATTATTGTTGTTGTTGTTTATGATTATAGTTGTTATGCTTATTGTTGTTATTATTGTTGTTGTTATTATTCCTCCTTCCTTTTCTGTTCTATTAAACTGCCTTTATCTAAACCCATGAATTTTATTTTTTTTCCCAGTTCTCTCCCCCATCCCGTTGCAGGGGGAGGGAAGGGGCAGTCAGTGAGTGTCTCTGTGGTGTTTAGCTGCCTGCTGGGTTAAACCACGACAGTGTTTACCTACCTTGGGCTGGGCCTCTCCTGCAGCCCCTGCCAGGCCACTGGTTCCTGCTGCACTAAATCAGTCCTCCCAGAGTCAATGGCTCCTCTCAGTCACTCACAGGAGGTGCAAATCCAGTGGGACAAATTAAGCATAGCAATGCACAGGCAGAGCAGCCAAGTAGCCAGAAGGCTTCGGCAGCTAAAATTCAAGTGGGTTCAGAAGTTTTTCCTTGCTTTGATTTGCTCAGAGTTTATGCTGAATTCTTTTGAGTATGGCATTTCCTATTTGTTTTCTTCCTCTTCCCTGCTGCCCTCCCTTCAGCTATGCTCATGCCTGTCAGTTTTTGTACAGTCTGTGCCTTGCCTGTGGTTTCTAATATTTGGGGGATTTTGCTTGGCAGTATTTGTGCACTGAGAGGCACTATGTTTTGTAGGTGTGCTGTACTTTCCTCTGGCTGCTGTCAAGGTGTTGTAGAGATTCCCGGTGTGTGGAAGTGCAAGGGGGACTTGTGAGCCTACTCACCCTGCAGGGAAACAGAGAAGGAAAATTTGTTGTAGTATTCATCTGTGCTGTTTGCTGCTTTGACATGTGAACTGCAACTTACGTAGATGTAAGGGACATAGCAATGTAACAGAGGCAGGAAGCATCCATGCTGACAGTCGCAGTTGGCATGTTCTTGTTGGACACCGACAGGCAGTACGTACTGCATGGCTTCCCCTCTCCAAGCCGGATGCAGAAATGTGGAGCAGTTACAGCCAGCTCCTGCTTAGTTCCTTCTTACCAGTCAGAGGCTCAAAATACCTTGGTCATGGTCATTCAAGGGTCTGACATTATTTTAGTACCAGCCACTACCATTTCCTTAGTGAGATGGGTAGATTACTTAACACATGTTCACCTACTCTCATGCAGGTCTACTTCAACACTAGGCTATGTAGAGAAGATGCAGTTTGCACCAAGTGCATCCCTATAGCTTAAATTTGCAATGGAAAGACCTATTATGGGCTTTGGCTCTCAATATCACAAAATAAAAATAATTGGGTGGTCCTAGGTGGCACCTGGCTGCACATGGATTTTCTTATTTATGTCTATTGTTTTCATCCCATGCAGTCATAAAGTTTGCAGAAGATAAAAATGTAGCCTGTAATCTCTTTATAAATTCTAGAAAAAAATTCACAGCTGTGTCTCATGACTTTCATGAAGGAGGCTGAAGCATCAGAGGAATACAAAGTTCTTTCCCAGAATACATTGAGATGAAGGCCCTGGAGAATCTCACCCCAGAGAGTTAATCATCCCAAGTGACCTCAGTAAAAACTTCTTAACTTTAAACCTTGGTCCTCAGAGTGCAGGCTTTCCTAGTGGAGCAGTGCATGTGAACTGACATCTGCAAAGACAAAATGAGCAAGCTCAGAAGATAATTGCTCATGATCCTAAGGAGTTACTGGAGCCAGATGAACCTGAGATTGCAGTCAACTGGGCTGTGCCTCAGGAATCCTTGATCAAATCACACTTCCAGGCTGTGGTCCATAATGGTTGTCAGCTGCTGCCTTAGTCTACAGCTTAACTGCACCTTGGAGACAACCACCTCCTGCTTTTATCTGTGTCGACTGGCCAGAATCTTTGGTAGGTTCAGATTTGTTTGTTTTCTTTTTCTGTATTTCTGTATCCATTTTCATATATTTGAAATATATGGCAAACTTGTTTTTTCCCAAGATGTTTTGTTTCATTATGTTTTTTAATCACAGCTACTTTTACTTAAGCTTAGTCTGCGTCAAAGCTTGGGGAACCCTCTGCCTTCCTGCTGATGCTTTCCCTCCCTCCCCGCTGTTTGTGACCTGATGAAATAGTCTGCTGTCACTAATCTAAGAGCATTCAAAGGAGTTGCCTAGTCTTTGATTTTAATAGCATATTTTTGTAGCTATTTTCTTGAAAAAAGAAAAGAGTGTTGATTTTTTTTTCTTTGCATGCGAATAGGAGAGTAGGCCTGCTCTGGCAGGATGCTGAACATGCTCTGCCACACAGTGCTTTCTGTCACTTACTGCACTTTCCAGGCTAGCTGCTGGAAATGTCACAGGATTAATTTCCGAATCCCCCGAGGTGCCTGTTGGCTTTGTCCAAAATCATTACTCATTCTCTGCTATGTACACAAGCTTACTAAAACATGGCGAGACCTTAGTTGTGTTTTCTGCGTTACTGTTCATTTCCATTCTGTTCCATCTGGGCTCTTACCTTTGCCTATCGGTGTGTTATGTGAGTGCCTTGCAGCAGCAGCTAGCCACGTTCTTGTGCATGCTTATTTCATGGCACACATGAGCTAAGTGATACCAGAAAACCAGCCACAACCTCCTCCAGGGATGTTCCGCTGCTGGACGTCAGTTGTTGTGCCTCTTGGTTCTAGTTTGTGACAGTGCAGTGAAAAAATCAATAGCAGACAAATAAGTAGACACGATGTCATCCTTGCACATAGGGAGGACTTGCAGGCAGCCAGCAGATCATGTATGTGCTCAAAGAATGCTTGTGGAGATGGAGTTATGGTCCAAGAATGTGCAAATAGTCCCAGCATTACGTGCCTGTGATCAGGGAGAAGTGCTGAACCATCTCTAGACTTAATTAGCGTCCAAACCGAAAATATTTGTCTCGTTGAGGGTGATTTTTTTAGGTGAGCAAAGAAGAAACTACATGAATGAAATCTTTTGTTTACCTTATCTCTGCTGGGGGCTAAAATAAAACTGGAGGGAGCCGGCTGTTAAGAACTGGTGGGCTGTTCTGAGGAAGGGTCATCACATGGGCTCCATCCAGCAGCAGTAAGTGAGAAGCACAGTGGCTTGTTTAGACTTTGGGGAGAAGGACATCTCTTTGAGCCAGCCAGGAAGCCTGTCTGCTGCCCACTGTTTTCCCATGGACCAGTGTCCTCAGGAAGTAAAAAGTTAGCAGGGGCTATCAGCAGACTACTTTGGTGCAGAGACTGTTTTGTGATTGCATTAATGTCTCTTTTCCTGTTGTTGTACAGAAATTATGACTGCTAGTATCAGTGTTGAGATGAAAGCAGAAGCTCTTCTGCATAAGCAAGCATTAAAAGCTAGCTGATACATTAATTGTAAAAGAAAGTTGGTGCTAGCTGGTGGCTCTTTACTTTCAGATGTTTGCTTTTGTCTTTTAATTCTTTTAACCTTCATCCAACTGTATTCTTTCACATACAGGCAACTATGTGTTTGTTACTCTCCTCTCTCACTGCCTAACTTGGAATCTGCTTCTGAAACCCTCCATTAGCTCAGATTTCAGACTTTAGGACAATTTGGGATCAGGGCAGAAAAATGGTGGATAGGCTGGGTCTTTCAGGTGAGCACTGCGTGATAACACAATGTTTGTAACGTGTTGTGAGGGGAGAGCCTCTGGTTTCAAGGATGTACCCATGCGGCCTTTAACAGTGCCATGTCAAAAAAACCCCATTGATTAAAAGTGTGCCTCACTTGTGCTGCTAAAAACACTTCTAGATTATACATGCTGAAAACAGTAAATATTTAATGTACAGGTTTACTTTTCCTGCTTTATAGAGAGCTCAGTAGGCCTGACAGAGCAGCTAGACAGATGTGTTTATAGCGCGCTCCCCGGGCAGGCACAATGCTGCAGTGTTTGGCCTGTGAGCACTGCAGGGACATGCTTAAAAAAATAAAAGTGTTCCATTTACATTGGGGGAGAAAAAAATCCTGAGAATGTTTCTATTAATATTAGCTGGTATAAAATCCCAAATTCTACATTTCAGGCCTTGCATATTTCAAAAATAGAGGGCTGGATGGTGGGGATGTGGGGTAAGAAGTGTTTCCTTGCTTATGTAGCCAGTGAAAGGGACAGTCATGGTGGTAGTTCTTCTGGCAGGAGAAGACAGTTGTTGCTGAAATGCCCCTGATGAAGGTGGTGTGTGAAATGAAGAGTTCAGGAGCGAGCAGAGCAGGGCAGCAATACCTGCATGAAGCAATACCTCAATGCATGAAGCGTGTGTAGGTGGGGGCACAGGTCAGTGTGTGATGCTTGTGGTTTTCCATGGACAAGGAACTGGTTCTCAGGACCACGTCTGAGATCCTGGATGTTTATCAGAGGGCATGTTTCTAAAAGGTGAGAGGGACCAGATGCTGTGGGGAAAGCAAAATGTGCACAGATCTCTCCACCTGGTAGGATGGACACACCTCCCACACATGTGAGATGCTGACAGAAATAGTGGGAAACCCACTTCCACATTAAGGGTTAGGTTTTTTTCATGGTTTTGACCTTGGTTGAGGTCTTATCTGAGGACTAGCTTCTCTTCAATTATACTGACATTAAGGTTGATTTATCTGGTTGAAATTAATGGCATAAATTAATTGGCACACATTAATTAACTGAAACAACTGACATTTGGGTTTCTGGAGAGCTCCCAAGGAATGAGTGGCTGCATCTGCCTCTCTCTGATTTCCTCAGAAGTTATGCTCAGTTGAGAAGTGAGTTTACTTCAATAATCTGATTAGATAGTTGGCAGCTCTTGAAGAAAAAAAAATAACTTTTAAAAGGGGATCTTGGGATGATTGATTCCTCAGGAAAGTTTTCTGATGAAGAAAAGTAGAGTAAGGAAGCAGAAGACTGTATTGGGGCTGGCTAAGCACTCCATGTTGTTAAATTAAATCTATATCTCTATAAAAAAATTAATAGTCATGTGAGTGTGTGTGAATAAAGCGAGAAGTCTTGGTGAGGTGGTTTTGCTTTCTCACCAGCTTTACCTGCAACAGACATCTTTCCCTGACTGCAGGTGACCTGCCATCCTGGGCAGGGGATGGGGCCATCC